TGCTTATACCTAGTACATGCTTGAATGGAGTAGGAAGAAGTCAGACTTATCCAGTCCTACCCCATGACATCATCTTACCATCATTGGTTTGCAAGCAATAAATGATTCACTTCTACCCACACACACATTATACTAAAAAAGATTATAACAGTGTTAACATTCTTACATCACACAAGTGATATACTAAAGAATGGTTACAAAATGTACACCACACCCACAATAGTCCATGTAGTTAATCATTGAGCCTGTTCTTGCATATATCTTGATTGATACCTTTATATTTCCGTTTAAACTCATCAGTTCTATTACTGTTTTTTATGTCCACACTTAAATTATTCCATAGTTTTACCTCACTTAACATAAACACTGCAGGCTTATATCCCACTAAATCAAAAAAGTTTAGCAATTTAGACTGTATGAAAGCTACATTGGTGTGATCACTATACCCCATCTTATGCACAATTCTTATCGCTCTTTTTTGTAATATATACAATGGTTGAAGTGAGCTTGTGTATGTAGTTCCCCAGTTTTCAACGCCATACTTTAAGTATGGTAGAATCAACGAGAAATACAAAATGCGTAATGCTTTCCCATCCAAAATATATTTCACCCTTGCCAATATCGATATATCTTTATCATAAGACTTTACTGATCCTCAGTGGGAAATTCACAATCTGCCCAGCGGTATGTAAGGTACTTCTATTTATAAGTATACACAACAATAACAGCTGCAACATTAAATATTATGAACACAATAATGCATCAATAATTATAGTCCAATAATATCAAAACATGTGAAATGTGCCATTTTGCATAATGAGTACTTTTACTTTTGGTATATTTTGATCCTAATACTTTTGTAACCTTTTGACTGAAGGACTTTTACTTGTAGCAGAGTATTTTTACACTGTGGTATTGCAACTTTTACTTAAGTAAACATTCGGAGTACTTTTTCCACCACTGCTATAGTGTATGTGTGTTCATGGTGTTAAAGGAACATGTAGTATAACCACCTAGTTATTTATTGTTTGAGCTCTTTGAAACTAAAGACTAAACTATATCAAGTTTTGGCAACACAAATAAGGCTTTTTATTGGGATCATTTCATTGTTACTTTTGGTCTTTTTTGGGATTTATTGGCAACAACAAAAATATAAAAAAAATGCTAAACGTGTTTGTTGATTTACTGAAGTGCTCCACTTCAGAGTGTTTTTCCACAATGTGAGGAATGATTAAATCAACAGCTCATGCAATAGGTATGAAAAATGTAACAGGGGAGCAAAAATAGCCAGAGACATACTTTCCAGGACCAGTCGACCTGACCACATGTGTGGCAATCTTTCAAAAATTCTGTTGGTCTTCACTTACCACATGCTTTAGTCCTTAAGTTAATAGTTTTAACAACATCCTGTATGTATTTGTCGTAGCAGTTCATCACTTTGTTGTCACTCATGCTAAGGCACAGAGTGTTCGCCACCGCGGCACCCTGACAGGAGACACCGCGGGGGCCTGACGACGATCCTGGGGGAATCACATGCTGAGTAAAAAGGCAAAACACAGAGAGCATGCCATTGTACGCAAGACTGGAGAATCTTCAGTGAAAGTAGCGGGAAGCAGACAGATGTGTGCTTTAGGGGAGAGTAAGGAGGAGTGACAGAAAGTGAAAGTGCCTCTTGAAGCGATGACTATTTCAACTGTAGAAAGAGGATGAGACAATGTGCTATTTCTGACACAGATGGCAGGAAAGGTCAGTCACTACTGGAGACTCAGCAGAAAAGAAAACAGAAAAATGGGCAAAATAATGGTCAGATTTTCACACTGTGGGGAATTCCAGGAGAGGCAGCGGTCAGTGTGAGGGCATGCATGAGGGAGCCCACCCAGGGAGTCGGTGCAGCTCAGTCGAGAGAGGACTAAAATATGAGAGCTGAGTCTCTGGGCGATCCACTAAATCTTCAGGATCATTCACATGAGCCTGCTGAAGGAGTGTGTGTTAGCAAGGTCGGTCACAGTGCACAGCTACAGTCGGTTTCAGGTTTTCCACATTTTGTTACGTTTCAGATTAATCTTAATGTAAATTCACTGCATTTTTTCCCCCTCATTGATCTACACACAGTACGCCACAGTGATATAGGGAAAACAGGTTTTTGCAGTGTTTTGTAAATTTATTAAGAGAAAAGACTGACCCTTCAGTTAGTATTTGGTTAAAGCACCTTTGGCAGTAACAACAGAGACTGAAGCTACAAGAGCTCTAGTGTCATAACAAAGGGTCTGAATACTTCTAGTATGTAAATAGGGTATTTCGGTCCTTTATTCTTAAGGAATTAACAAAACACTTCAAACACCTGTTTTCACTTTGTCATTTTGAAGCATTTTGTGTAGATTGATGTGCAAAAAAGGAATTTAATCTATTTAAAGATGAGTCTGAAACACAACAAAATGTGAAAAAGGGTCTTTGACTGACTGTATGGCCTCACTGCTGAAAGAGAAGGTTAATGTCTTCTTAGCTGTATTTTAAAAGGCACGTCCACAAATTCACAACCTGATGAAATACTGACATAACCTTCCTAACAGAATGGAAATGACCCAGTGTTCCTAATTGGTACAAACAAGAATGAACAGATCTTGGATTGTGTCCTTGTTTTTCAGCACAGACTCTGAAATTAACCCTGTATTTCTTGCAGGTTGCCAAATCGCTGAGAAGCAGAAGCTGCGCTCGGTAGCTAAAGTGTCAGATCGACACATTGATCATTGCTGACATGAAGGATGTGTTTCCAGCGTTTCACACCTGCAGCCTTTTTGAAGACATAATGAAGACTAACTGTATCAGCAGGTCATGTAACACAGATTCTTTGCTAAATGCTGCTTCAGCACTTACCACTAACACAAGAATCATGGGACCCTGGTAGATGTAGTCTGTGTACACGCCAGCTTGCTTCCCAAACCAGCACCTGAAATGTTAACAGAAGCCATCAGTCATGCTCAGTGGGCAGATACTGATGTTTATCTTTGTCTTTTTTTCATAAAGAACCTCCTCTGAGTTCAGGATGCGTTGGCATTCATGTCCTAAATTCTGCTCAGGGGCTTTAACACATTTTCCAGTCAGTGATTAACCCCAGTTATGAATTTGGTGATTTAGTTTTTTTATTGTTTAGGTTTTTATCACCTTCATCTCATTGTTTTAGTTTTAAACTGACCACTTTCCTGCAGCAGAAGCCGTCTTCAGGAAATACAGGCTCTAAAAAGCTGCTGTCCACAACTTGTCTAGCAGCAAACAGCAGACAGACACAGCTGGAGACCAGCTAAAAAGTCAGAGATTTCTCCCAGGAGCCGGAGGAGACTAAACACAAAGCTAACAGAGCAGGATCACTGCACTACGATTCATCAGGTACCATAAAGTTGTTCTGCATCTGCTCAGTGTGTAAATAGGGAACAGTTTCCTAACTTGTTTACCACAATGTTATCCATTTGTTAAATGTGACGTGATGTTCCAGTTCCAGATCCAAACTGCCCCAGACCCTGTGGCGGAGCCTGCCACCCTCTACACCATAACATCTTTTTTTTGAGAGGCCTCACTGAGAGTGAACAAAAGACTAAATTATTTGACCCAAATACAATAGTCAGTGTAACTGTTTTACCTGGTGGCATAATAACCAAACTCTGTTGCACATTGTAGTAAATGTATTCCAATGAATATCATGTTATATGTCTAAATTTAATAGTTCTCAGATTTCACCATTACTTTCATCAGTGTAAAATGTGTCAGTGTATAGTGTTTACATTAACTTCATGCTAACTAGCTATCTACATTTCATGGGAGCAAAATACTGTACTTTGTTTAATTTCATTAATTTATTAAATTTAGCATTAAGAATACTGTGACTTGCCTAATAAATCGTAGCCACTTCTTTTTCTGCTTCTCATTGCAAGAAAAGTGATAAAATGACAGCTGGACCGTGATTTTTGATTCATATCTACCGAAGCAATGAGGAGCACAAAGTTTGGACCCGGAAACGAAATGTTACGTCACTGCTTAACAAGCAGATAAGATGATGTGCCAGTGTTGTGCTGAATCCATGTGAACACAAAAATCTATTAATGCAACTTTAAAGTTGTTCATAAATGTTTAGTTTTATGTCTATATTAAATATATGTCCATAAATTTGCCATGTGCTGCTAATGGGAACTGGAGTGAGGTTTCTTTTGTGTGCATTTGGCCAATAACATAGACTCAGATTCTGCTGCACATTTTCTGCCCTAGTGAGTGTGTGTGGCAGCAGGATGATGTGTGTGGGACTGAGTCAGCATAAGTTACAGTGTGTGGGTTCACAGTGTCAGCCAGTGCAACAGTGTGGCCGCTGATGTGCTGTAATAGTTTGTGGACAGCGCAGAGCTCTGTGGCTCAGATGGAGGGGACATCTCAGACTGCGATTCCAAAACCACTGGATGCATCCTTTGCTGGTTCTTGTCTTTCACGAGGTTTGCTGCCAGTAAAAGAAATACACCAGACTTTTCCTTTAAGAACCCAATTAACAGGATGAATTGTGTAATAAAAATGACTTTTGCAGCACACGTTTTTAAATGCTGAGTCAATTTTCACCTTCTATTAGGTGCTAAAAGAGCCCACTTATATCAATCAGGCACTAAGTGCCCACAGCCAAATGAAAATGGTTGCAGGGTTAATGTGTTATTAAGAATAATGTACCATGCAAATGTGATTACAGCAGGTTATTAATAGACATTCATCTCCTTAACACAATAGTTTGACTCTGCCCTTGTGCTTTAATCACCTGGACAAAGAAAAACGTTCACTTTCTTAGAACAACAAAGAAACACATGACTTACTTCTCATTGTCATAGTACAGCTTCCCAATGGCCCACGCCACAATTATAGGGAACGGTATACCTGCAAGGCAAAAACAGGCAAGGTCACATTCTTCTTTCATCTTTCTCTGCTACTCAAATAACAGAATATCACTCTGGGGATTTTATGCAGCAATATAAAATCCTTGTCTTTTTTCCAGTGTAGCAATGATGCCTGCAAAGCTCTATCAAAAGAAATTGCTGCTTTTGTGTCGTGATCCACAGATGCAAGTCAAGACGCGTCACCATCTGAATGTTCCTTTGTGAATGAGCGAAAAGCTGGACACTGGTCGATGATGATGCAGAGTGATCTGCAGATTTACTGACGTGTCGGTGCAGAAGGCGGCAGACAAAGAGTCATTACTCACATTTAGATGACACTAAAAGGACCGTGATGACCTTGCCAGCTGCCATGTCACATGTGTCTCACATCTCTAGAGACTCTGCACTTCATTAGGGACATACCCTCAACAGCGTAGTGTCAGGGAAACCTACTCCCTTGGCCTCAGATTACTTGACAAATGTAATCATTCATCTTTTGTCCATCTTGCTGCTTTCATCCCTCAAGGTCAGAGAGTCAAATTAAATGTGATCTTACTTATTCTTTCAGTCATCCTGAAATGTGCTGCCAGCTCCTTGTCGCCTAGAGGCCTCACACTGCCCTGGGGGAAATGCAATCCAGCGGGCACAATACACCTAATCTTAACAGCCTAGTGTAGTTTAGCTTGACAGCGTGAGACGGGGTCTCAGTGAACTCCACACTAATACATTCCCCAGCTGCCATGCCAAATCCTAGTATCTCCATCAACTTAAGCTCTCCCATTGTTGGGTAAAATTGTATCTGACCATTCATTCTTTTGAGGTGAAATGTGCTCAAACAGATTGAAGTGATTATATCAGTAAGCTGACATCTTTGGAGAATACACACATTCACTTTCTCACCAAGAGTTTGATAAGGAAACTGGGTACAACTTTCTTAGAAGGCGCTATTTTTAAAGGGAGTATAAGCTGTAATTAGATAATACATAATTAGTTTGTGCTTCATAGATAACATTTGGGTTGCCAGGTGGTGGAAAATCTTCTCTAGCACCACACTTTGCTTGTCTTTTCACCTCTTTAATTCGTTAGGGAGCCCTCTCCTCTTGCTATTTTCCCTTGTTTCCAATATGCTAAGTTAAGCTAACCACCTTCCACTAGCTTAGCCCTGGCACTCACACTTAACAAGTGGTTTCCATGTGCTCATTAAAAAAGCTGGGCTCGACATTAGTTACATCTTACTGAGGAATGGTGGAGCTGAAATGAAATGTACTCAAACTGTTACTAAATGGGTATTATGGGTAATATTAACTCTCCTGCTGAGAGTCTGATGAAACCCTGTGTGTTAGAGGTGTTTGTACGTGTATATCTGTGCAGATTCTCAGTCATCCAGGTCATAGTAAACCGCAACCGAAATAACCTTGGAAATCAACTGGACTATATCCAAGTCCAGTTGATTTCCAAGGTTATTTCGGTTGCAGTTTGTACATGCATGTTTTTAACTCTGGACAGAGCCAAGAAGGCAAACGGGCACATTTCCCAGCATGTCCAACAGTTTCTCTAAGTTTTTCATACAACTATAGTGACTGTACAGGTGAAACACAGAGGGTACTAACACCAGCCGATGCAGATGAACATCCACTTGCGCAGCTTGTCGGTGGAGTAGGTGAGGACGATGGCGGTGTGGAGGTAGCAGCCTTCACCAAACATCCAGAAGAAGTTGGTGGAGTGGAAATAGTTGAAGGAGGCGGTGACAAGGCGACACCACACCTACAAGATGGATCTTTTCAGTTTCTCACAGATAATACGACATTAAATCAAACTGGCAGACAGTTTTTAAAGCAGACCAAGAGTTAGTTATGTTACATTATCATCATTTATGCAGGACCTGTTGGTAAGTTTGGAACTGTATGGAAAATAGTTAAAACCAGCTCCATCCTGACCAGCTGCATTGCTGCCTCCATCTTTACAGTGTCAAGTTATTACTTGTTACTCTGGCTCTGGTGGCTCATGTCGCCCCAACACCTCACTAGCTCACATTTTAAAACTGTTTTGCTTTAATCTGACAGCTCCCTGTAGCTGACAAATGCAGGAGCTTCCTCAAAAATACTGGTAGGATAGAAGAAGTGTTTGCCCCAGTTTTCCTGCACACAACATAAAAATCTGTTTTCTGGTTACATCTGAGGAATCGATTTTATTAAAAAATTAGCACTTTGATCCAGCTAACACATCCACTTGATACCTCATATGTGCAAGATGGAGAAACCAACTTAAAGGATAAGGCTGAAACAGGGAATCGATTGGAGATCAATCAACACTGGTTTGCCCCTGCTTCTCCAGTGTGAGGATTTAGTGCTTTTCAAACTTTTCTGTCATTGGAAAATGAATACTTCTGGGTTTTGAGTGTTATTCGGACATATTTATATACAATACAACTAATCAATTATTAAAGAGAACTCTGCACATTAATCACTAATGAATACAGTTGTTAGTTGCAGCCCTGCTGGTGTTATTCTAACAGCATGTCAGTCTGTCTCTTCCCTAGCCTACTCTACTCAGCTCTAAGCCTGAGCCTGGCACAGTCCCAGTCCAGTCCTGCTTTCCAGGGTTTTGATTGGACTGTCATTCCTCCTTCAGTCTCCACATGTCCCCAGACTTTCCCTGTGACGCTGCCTTGTACACCTGCCTCTCATTCCCTCGTTACCCAGTCCTGCCTCCCACACTCATCACACTTCTGGGACTGCTTCACCTGTTTGTTATCAGGCTCTGTTTGGACTCCGATTTCTCTCAGCATGATATTGCCTGCACTCAAGAGTAAGCCCTGTTTTCTTATTTATTACAACAAACTGTTTGACTACTTCTGCCAGCTTGTCTGCCTCGGGCATCTGGGTCTGTTGCTGGTTCTTACGAGCAATGTGACAGAGTCTTGTACCAATCAAATAGTTGTCTGTGCTGCTGTAACGTGTGAATTTCCCCACAGGGGACATCAGATTTTTTTTCTAAATTATATGTTGAAAAGGTATTGTTGAAAGTATTTATATTTCAAAGTCCTCTTTTGTTTTCTTGCCTTGAAAAATATGTTTGAAGACTAATCCTGCACACATACGCATGTCACCAAAGTCACTGTATTGTAGCTTAAGTGCAACAGATGAATTGATACATACCACATTACTTTCATGCACTTCGGGGCTCATGGTCATTTGGACGATAAACCAGGTGGCATTCCTCAGGATGAAGGCCGTGATGAGGTTCCAGTGGATGATGTTTCTCAGGCAGCGGATGCTCCTGTAAGAACAAAGGAGGACAAACTGAGAGGCTTCTTGTTCAACATATCACCGACTGCGCTTAGGAAAAGGATATTATTTCATATTTTGAAGGAAGATGTTAAAAGGGGCCCCTCCTTGAACCGCCACCTTATTGTGGTGGAGGGGTTTGAGTACCCGAGTGATCCTAGGAGCTATGTTGTTGGGGGCTATATGTCCCTGGTAGGGTCTCCCAAGGCAAACAGGTCCTGGGTGACGGGTCAGACTAAGAGCAGTTCAAAAGCCCTTTATGAATAGATTAAAATCAAGGACCGTGACGTCGCCCGGCATGGCGCAGCCGGGGCCCCACCCTGGAGCCAGGCCCGGGGTTGGGGCTCAAATGCGAG